ACGTGCTAAAGACTTTACCCACTTTATCTCGCTCAATCTTCCGGCAGCCTGTGAAGTAGGTTCCCATTACAGCCCAAGTTAACAGTTGTCCGGGCCACATCGTACCCTGGATTAGCTACCCTGGGAGCCCTTGACCTGGGTGCTAGCGGGAACCCACCTCTGACTCCCACCATCTCCACCCTTCCCTCCGGTGGGTGGGAGACAGGAGGAGGCCAAGCAGAAGTCCCCTCTCTGAGGGTTCAAGGGCGGAACAGTGGCTGCACATCCCACGGAGGCGGCTCCTTCATCTGTCAGGCGGCAGCCTCCCCAGCGAGCTCACCCACACTGGAACACAGTCCCGGGAATCTCCAGTGCAGAGCAAGGTGGAGACAATGCTCGTTTTGCTGACTTTAAGGAAAAAAGAAAGAAAACTCAGCCCCCTTGGTGGGTGGCATCTCCAGCACTGAAATTAACACGAGGTGTCCCTAGGTAAACACATGCGTGTTTTTTCCCTTCTCTCTTCATCCCAATCATGGCCACAGCAGAGGGGTCACTGAGCCAGCCCGGTGGGTCCCCACTGGGACCTGCAGGCTAGTCAGCAACAGTGCAGGGCGGGCAGTACCAGCCTCCCAGCGCTGGTGGGAGCAGGCTCTGGGCTGGGCAGTGTGCTGCACGCGTTACTTGCATCCTTTCACTTACTCCTCCCAACTGCCTCTCTGAAGTGCGTCTGGTTATTTCCCCCATTTTCTGGAACTGAAGTTCAAAGCCCAGAGGATGTGAGTAGGTGGACGCTGTCACTGGGAGCCCTGTAAGTAAGAGGAACAGAATTACGTTCCTCATTCATGCTCCCGCTTTTTGGTACTGGCTTGTGCCTCTCTTCTCCCTTTAATGGAAGTTACTGTCCCGTCCCTGTTGTGGATGGAGACGCGCGGAAAACAAGACCTGGCGTGGGTCTCGGAGTCGGAGCGAGGTTAGGAAGGCAGCCAATAGCGCTATAGCATGATACAAGGTCAGTGGCAAAAATGACTGAGGAAAGAACTGTGGGTCCAGGGAGGGGCTGTTGGGACGGGGCTGGATGGATCAGCAAGGCCTTGTGTCTGTGGAGAAAGTTCAGGTTCAGGAGGCGCCTTTGGGTGGCGGGGGGAGCAGTGCATTCCAGCTCCAGGCCCTGCCCTCCCTGCCCCATGTGCAGTGACTGACACGGTCCCTTCCAGCCAATAGGATGTCCTTAAAAACTGCCCCAAAGCCTTTCCTTGCTGGGCAGACACTCCGTCCTGTGAACTGGAAGCCCCACTCTCCAGCCCCTGGGCTGCCTGCACAGGGCGAGGCACAGTCCCGGTGGTGCATTTGGAATTTTTTAAAGGATGTATTGATTTGAGAGCAAGTGAGAGGAAACCTGGGTGTGTTGTCCCACTTATTTATGCATGCATTGGTTGATTCTTGTGTGTGCCCGATGGCACTCCTGCCTGCCTCTGGGACTGCCCCCCCCCAACCCACACGTGCACCCAGCATCATTAGCCTTTTCTCTTGTACGGCCTCCCCAAGTCCATCTGCCCAGGGCCCTCCAGGAATCCGCACCTCACGCTATAGCTGAGGCAGCAGAGGCCCTGCAGTTAGAGACCAGCTGCTCACGTGTGGGGGACCCAGGAGCCCATTTTGGCCTGACTTGCTGCTAGGAATCCTGGGTTGAAAGGAGAGGGCAGGTGTCCTAGGTGGTAACCTGGTGCCTGGGCAGCTCCCTGCCCTTCGGAACCTCAGTCTTCCCACCTGTCAGGTGGGGGTGAGGGCCGCTTTACAGTCAGTGCACAGGCCCCAGCTGAGTGCCTGCTGTGTGCAGGGTGCTGTGCCGACCATACCCAGCCTGCCCCTCCCCCCGTGTGGACACAGCCAAATGGGGGAGGCCGACAGCTCCCAAACAGGACAACGTCCCTCGGGTTCCGTGGGTCTGCCTGTGCCAGCGCTGAGTAACTCCAGGGTCTGCCCCCAATCCTGGGAGCTTGGCAAGGGGGGCGGTTTTATCTCTGGATTCTGGCCCAGGGGGCCGGCATGCTTGCTGCCCGGGGAGCAGGCAGAGGGCCTCTCCGGAGCTGGGGCAGGCCCTGACTTGAAACAGCTTCTGCAGGACTGATTTATCAGCAGCCACTCGGCAGCCACTCGGCAGCCCGGGGGAGCGGCGGTCCTAGGGCGTGTTGGGTTCCCCCAGCTGGAATGAATCCGGCGGGAGGATGAGTTTGGTCATGCTTGGGTTGTCAAGAACTGAAGAATGATGTTCTCTCTTAAAAATATTCCCCATGGATACCAAACTCTTGCTCGTCCCAGGCAGAGGCCGCGGAATCCTGTAGCAGTGCTCTGTGATGTTGAGCGGTCCCCTCACCCTCTCTGAGCCCGAGGGGCCCCGTCTGACTGGGGAGAAGGGTCACCCCGCAGCTGAACTTGCTAGGGGATGGAATTAGGTAATACACGAAAGTGTTCAGCTGCCTGCTGATTAAGTCCCCTGTGCATAAGAAGACCAGCTGTCTTGGATGTAGGCACCCCGTGTGCTCCTGAGTAGTCGGTAACTTGGGAGCCAAGTATCTTTAGGAAATGTGGCCATTTTGGTCAGTCTAGAACTGTCATGCAGCAAAACTAGGTCCCAGAAGAGTCCCTGAGCCGCCTTGGAGCCTAGGAAATACTGACGCCCCTTCACAGAGCAAGGGAACCAGGTGGCAGGGGCTTGGGCCTGAGCCTTATCTTTCCTCACCTGTGCAAACATTTGGCAAGAGGCCTTGGTTTCCTATCTGTAAAATGGGCACTCGCGTTGCTGGAGCTAATGTGTGTCAGTGAAGCAGGGGACCCCCTTCACAACTGCTGTGTCTGGCAGGTGCTCCGCTCCTGCCAATCCGGATCTTGCAGTGGTTGGAACAAAATTCCTTTTGCTGGTCCTACGTGAAGGGGAGCAGGGCAGGCGAGGGCTCTGGAGCAGAGGCGTGAAGGCTGTGTGTCAGCATGACTAGAATCCAAGGCTCGCTGTGTGCTACAGGACCCTGAATCTGATGCCACCGACTTCTGGGTTATCTTCTCCCCAGGAAGCCTGGGAGCCGTGTTAGCTGCATGCCAGTCCCACCATTACTGACCAGCGTTGAAACCTCAGGCTCACAACCTCTGTTTCTCCTGTGAAATGGGGTGCAGACTCTGATTTCACAGACAGGAATGTGTCTGTCTGGTCATACCCAAGAGGGGGCATGAGGCTTGGGGGCTTCTAGATGGCTGCAAGGACCACTCGATTCTGACCTCCCAGGTACTGATGACAGTCCTTGTCGGGGGAATCTCTCTGGACCAGACTATGACAAGGCCCGGAGAGAGACAGCATCACCCTCGCATTAGCAGTGAGGACCTGAGGCTCAGAGAGGGGATGTGGCCGACACCTAGCCACACGTCGGTGGGACTGAGATTCAAGCCCCAGTCTGTGTGTCTCCAGAGTGACTGTGTTGTCACTGTCTCCTGTCCTCAGGAGGAGGGTGCAGACAGTGTCTGCCTTGTTTCCTGCTGGATCCCCAGGGCTAGCACCACACCTGGCACATGGAAGGGACTCAGTAAAGGCTCATGAACTGAATGAATGAGGGAAGGAGCAAAGGTGAGAACCTTCCCTCCAGCCCCAGCTCCTCCCAGCAACCCAAAGCTGGGTGTCTCTGGGGATCCAGGGTGGAGGCCCAGACCCAGTCAGTTACCGCTTGGCCCTGGCTGCCTGGGCCTGTCCTTCTAGGAGGACTTTCTCAGCTCCCCAGGGAGGCCTTGCTGTTAATCCCAGAGGGTGAGGTGGGTGAGCTCACTCCTGCCTGGCACGGGGCCCCCCTGGCTGGGCCTGCGTGTTGTGCTGAGGCAGGCGGGCCGGTTAAGGAGTTCAGTGTTTGGGTGTGCTCTCTCGGCCCAAGGTTTGCCCTGCACCCCCCAATTCCAGCTTTTCTCATGTCTACTGAATCAGAAATTCACCATTAGCCCATCTTTATAACCCAGCTGTGCCCCTTCCTGGCTGTGTGACCTTAGGCTGGTCACCTCTCGTTTTTGAGAGTCAGGCTCTGTAAAAGGGGAATAATGAGAATATTCATCAACATACAGGAGGTTTCAGAATGGAACCATTGGTCATTGGCAGCAGTAAGTTAGCAGTTCTCCAAATGACTGTTCCATTCCTTCCCTGCCTCTGAATTCCCCAGTTCTTGGCTTTCTTCACATCTAATTCATACTAAGGTGTGAATGGTTGTCAAACTACCTTCCCCCTCAAGGGTGTCTAATCCAGACATCACTATGATCTGTGGTGTTTCTGGTGCTATGTAACCGAGTGAGAAGGAAACTGAGGGAATTTCGCTAAGAGGGCAAGGGGAGAAATTGATTCCCTCACCCTCATCCCCCCAAAGTCCCTTCATGCCATAGCTGGGGGTGGGCGAAGGGCACTGCTCTGGTTGGAGGAATCCAGGCTGTTAGTCTTTATTGCTCTGAGCAGTTAGTTTGACACCTTATTTAAGGAAGTTTCCAGCACCTAGTAGACCTTTAGCAAATGTCTTTCTGGAAGATGACCAATCAGCTGTGGCCTGGACCTGGACTGTCTCTCCTGCCACCCTTTCACAGTATCCGATGAACTCCTACACATGCTTCAATGTCCAGTTTGGATATCTCTCTTCCAGGAAGCCTTCCCAACTTAGTTCAGGTCCAGTTAATCTTTTGGGAACTCTAGCTCATCAAAGATGAGCAAACCCAGAGTTTACCCTGCCCAAGGCTCCTATTCCCCAAGGGTATAAAATTGTGGCCCAGGGGGAGGCGTTTTTTTTGGCTGAGGTCTCACAGCCAAATCAGAGACAACAGCGAGGGGGTGGGTGATTCTAACCTTCTTACCAGCCATCTCTGGATCCCTTCAGAATGCCTTTAGGCACGAAAAGAGGGCACAGACCCCGCCTGTCTTCTCCCGCCTTTCCGACTACACCCCACGCTGGGGCCTCCCACAGAACTGAGCGTACAGCTAACATCCTGTCTTTCTTCTTTCTCCGCAGCCCACGACCTCCCCGCAAACAAGGCCTCAGCAGCCCAGCCTGGCAGCCACTTGCAGTGCCTGTCTGTCCACTGCACGGACGACGTGGGAGACGCCAAGGCCCGAGCCTCCGTGCCCACCTGGCGGTCCCTGCACTCCGATATTTCCAACAGATTCGGGACATTCGTGGCTGCCCTAACTTGAAACGACAAGAATGCCCCAGCCCCACCAGGCCCTTCCCTCCCCACCCCCTTCTCCCCTTACCCTGCTTCCTACCTACCCAACCCTGATCATTTGAAAGGGCCACTAGTGCTGAGTGGATGAATTATTTTCTAGGTTGGTACCTGCTTAGTGGCATATGGACTGGAAGGGGTTAATTTAAAGGGGGGAAAAAAAAACCTCAAAAAAATTTTTTTTAAAAGAGAAACTCTGTCTGCCACAGTATGTTACCAGTGTTAACCCTTCAGCAGTTAGCAAACTTTTGCTTAAGCCTTTTCCTTGCTAGATAATTCCCATTTTCCTGTCATCTTGGCATACGGTTTTTAGATGACCTCTTTCTTTTGTTTTATTCCCATGCTGCTGTATGTCCAAGTATTGTTATTTCATAATGAGACAAGAGTTGCTTTTCTTTTTTATTCTCTTTTATTCTTGTTCCCCCCACCGACACCCTTGCTTTTTTTTTTTTCTTTTTTGCTTCGTTCACTGCTTATTAAAATGGAAATCCTGGAGAAGAGTAGTTCTGGAATATTGCCGGGTGAAAGTCCAATTGTCATCACGGTATTATATATGGACATCCAACTGTCATCGGTCAGGCAGGAGCCAAACAACGAACGGCCCCCCCATCCCCCTTAGGTATTGCACCCGGGATTTTGTTTTGTCTGTTCCCTAAGAAAATAGAGAGATTTTCTTTCTTACAAACATGTGCTCAGCTTTCAGCTCCGTTCTCTCTCCTGCTGGAAGCTGCCCCTCTGCAATGGAGGGGGTGGCGTGGCCAGCCTGCTCTGTGGGAAGGAGTCAGAGCATTTGACAGTGGTCCTTTTGCTCCTTTTCCGGGCCTCTCCACAGATGCCTGCACCCCTAGTTTTCACACTATGCCGAGTGGTCCTGGTCTGCTTGGGGCTTGGAGGCCTTCCAGCTTGCAGTCTCCAGGGATGGGCAGCTCTAGGCTCCAGCCCTGCTACCACCAGACCACTGGGGCTTGGGTGCTGGAGTTGGGGGCAGATCAGTTCTTAGCCTTTGACCTTTCCTGACAGATGTTCCCAGTTGGGCATCCCTGGGGACGGAGAGGGGGCGCTTGGGTGTATCTCCCCCACCTCTCCTGGTTGGTCCTCATCCCCGTCTATTTTACCACCTCCAACCTGGTCAACCACCTATTCCTGGAAGAGATAAGGGGGCCCCAGGCTTAGCTTGCCAAGCCCCCCTCTCTGACCCTGGGAATATGTCTTTGCCAGGTTTTGCAGACTGCTGAGGGCCAGAGTGAGAAGAGAGGGAATTAACTCGTGACTTTGATACCTGGGCCTTGTTTTTGGAACCCTGGAATTTTTCCCCCTTTTGGTTTCATCTCACGTTATTGCAAAATTAGAGTCACATCACATGTGTCTTGTGAAGAAATAACCTCTCCTTTGAGAAGTGAGGAGGGGCGGCTGGGCCAGCAGGGCTCCTGGACCCAAGCGAGGCCTGTTAGCTGGTCCTCCCAGAGCCAAGGTCACGAGAGGCCCAAGCTAGACAGGAGCAGGCACCTTTGGGTGCTGCTGATACCTACAAAAGGTTTGAATGACTTATGGGGGAATGGGCTGGGGGCGCTGAAATTCCAGGCTGGGTCAGACAGGAAGTAACTGATACCACTTCACCCAAATCGATGACCCATATTTAATTTGTTTTTGTTAATGACCGTGTCTTATTGCACAACAAATTCCCCATTTTGAACCTCACCCCACCCCTTCCTCCGGGTCCCCAGAGTTTGCAGACCTGGCTTTTTTTTTTAGCAAGTGACCTGCAGGCTTTGGGCTCACCATCCAATACTCACATTGCTTGTTTCAAAGAACTTTTCAGCCAAGGGAGAAGGGCGTCCAGAAAAACCTGGCTCTTTCCGTAGCCCCCTCCTTCTTTCCTTCTGCTGGCTGTTTTGGCTCCAGTCGGAGTCTGGACAGCCCCCGGTTCTTGCACGGACAGTCTGACCAGGGGCTGACCCCCTGGCCAGCGAGGGCAGGTCGAAGCAGGCGGCGCGAATTAATTTATCAGAAGAAGGTGTGAGCTGATTTGGTTCCTGAGTTCTGCCACCAAAGGAGAGAAAAGGGGAGAGCTGTCCCGACTCCTGCCACGGGGGCAGGAGAATCAGCCAGTCTGAACAAAACTCTGTGCCCCTTCTGACTCCGAAATGTACAGCTGTTTGGAGAGCTTCATCATTTTATTTTTTTTAAAAAACAGGAATGATTTCTCCTTAATTGCTTAAGGCCGGGGAGCCAAGCATCTTGACTTCTGTCTCTCACTTTCCCCGTGTTGAGTCCATCAGCACTTGGCCATCAGCTCATGGTCTTCGCAACCTCGGAAACCCCTTGAAGTCTTAAACTTTCTCGCTCCCCACGACCCCAGAATGGAACAGCTTTAAAAATAGCCTTAAGCAAAAGGATGTTATTTCATTAAATTTGGTTTAATAGAAAGAATAAAAGCAAATTAAAAACACACCCAGCCCACGAGACTCCAAACACTGGTAATTGGTACTGCATAGCAAACTCTTCGGGAAAGAAAATGGAAACGTTATTGCACATGTAAAATATGAAAACTTAACTCTGCTGTGTGTTAGGCAATCCTGTAATCTTTTTTGACTCTTAAAAGAAATTCATTTCTGAAATGCTTGGTTGGAAGACTGTGACAATAGCTCATGAAATTGAGTGTTATTTTTTCTTTCTTTTTTAAAAAAATATGTAAAGTGCAGTCTTCTGTATTCATGCATATTGTATATACCTGTATATGTTTTCCTGAGCAGCTAAATAACAATAAATATGACGTTAATGGTGACTGCGGTACATTTGTGGGTGGGGCTGGCTTCATTTTTTTCCCCAGCCTCTTCCCTTTTCCTATGGGCCTCTTCGAATTCCATGGGGGTTGGGAGTGTAGGTCTGGATGCTGTAGTGTGTGTGCGTGAGTGTGCACATGTGCATACACGTGTGTGTGCATGGGTGATTTGATGCGAGTCTAGGCTGGGTTGTCTCAGAACTACTCCACTCAGCAGTACCGACATTTGGCTGGCTAATTCTCTGTGGCGGGGACTGTCTCATGCCCTGTAGGATATTGAGCAGTGTCTCTGGCCTGAGGACACCAGTGGCACCTCTTCCCCTCTTGTGCCAACCCAAACATGGCACAGTGGCCTCTGAGAGGCATCTGCAAATGACTGGCATCTGATTAATGCAGGAGGGAAGGAGTCAGGAGGGACCCAGGTGGCCGTGTTGTGTGATGGTTATTATTTTGGGTCTTCGAGTTCAGTTTCAGAACTCAAGAAGCTTTGTATCCTCCTACATGTTAGGCGGCTTCTCAGTGCCTCCTCTCCCTTGTCTGTGAAATGGGTCTAACTTGTGGAGTTGTTATAGAAGACGATGCAGTGAGTGTGGACGCAGCTCATAAGAGGGCTGCACCTGTGTGGACTGTTAGCATCGTTCCTGGATCGCAGCATGGCACAGCTGGCAGCGTTTCGGAGTCTGCTCCTCCTGAGTGGGCTGCTGCTTCCTCCGCTTATAGCCATGGGCCATGGACAGGGGCTTTTAACCCAATCTTCATGTTCTTGTCTCTAAAATGGAGTGAATAACATCGAGCTTGAAAGTTGCTGTGAGCACCAGCCCTGTTTCAGGCCTATAAAAGCTTTGGCTGGCCCACGGGCCACCCTTTGGGAGGTAGCTTCACTCTGGCACCTGTGGCCCGAGGCTTGAGGCCATTGCAGGACCATAGTTTACAAAGGGGGCAATGGAGGGGAAAGACAGACAAGTTAAAAGTGAGGGGAATATGCCCAATAACCCGTGGTACAAAGGATGGAAGAAACTCTGAGACACTTATGAGCTCCATGTAGGAGGCTTGGGGAAGACTTCCTCCAGCAGGTCATGTCCAAGTGGGGTTTTGAAGGATGAATAGGAGTTCATTCCATTCATTCCAGTATATAAGTTGACCCTAATTTGTCAGAAATATTTCTTCTCTTCAGCTTTTAAAGTTAAAAAAAAAATACATGTGCAGTAACATATTTGTCAGAATATAAAGTTTTAAAGACAAGGCCTCTAATTTGGAGGAGCTTAAAAATGTCTTTAACCTTTAAAGGTCTCCTGCTCAGAGCGACAGTGGTGGATGATGGTGCTCGTACCCAAGGAACGGAAGGAAAGTGGAAGAATGATGAGCAGCGAGGATGGGCATCTGGGAGACTGGAGGTTGGTGTGAAATGAATGGCTGAGTGAGTGAGTGAATTCGTGTCTCAGAGGGCCAGGAACCAAGGACCATGTGACGCGGGGCTGTACATCGGGATGGATGTTGGCACTGGGGAGGGAGGGCCAGGGCAGAGCTCCAGCAGCATGCGGCATCTTCCAGGTTGGCCTTTTCACACTGACAGAGAAACCCCATCTTAGCCTGGTGTCCCGTCTTAGAATGGCTGCCTCCTTCCCAGGAGCAGGGGGGCTGAGGGCCTGTCTCCACCATGAGAGGGGATGCAGGAGGGGTCAGGGGGACCCTCAGCCCTTCGAGAGCTAGGGGCAGAGGCAAGGACACCCTGTCCCACTGTCTTTGAACAGAGATTAGAAATATTCTCAAGACCGGAGAGGAACATGGGCTTCCCTAACTGGCAAGGGGGTCAGCAGGAAGGACCCCGGCTGGGTGTATCAGACATATGACGTGTGGGAGGTGCCGAACCTTTGCCCCCAACCGGCTGACCTGAGCAGGAAGGGACTGGGGCTGAGCGCCCAATTCTGCGACTAGAACACCGTGGGTAGGATGGCTTTCAGGCCCTAATTCTGCAGTTACGTCCCGGTGAGTTGCCCCAGGCACCTCGGAAATTTTTTTTATTGATATACAATTCACATAAACACAGAACTCTCTATTTTAATGATTCAAGTGTGTATAATTCAGCAGTGTTTAGTATATTCACAACGTTGGGCAAACGTGATTCCTATCCGATTCTGGAACATTCTCATCATCCCCAAAAAGAAACCCTGTACTCATTTTCCGTCAATGCCGATCGTCCCCTCCTTCCAGCCCCTGAAAACCACGAGCTGACTCTCTGTGACTTCACCTTCTCTGCACATTTCATGTAAATGGAATCATGCAACGTGTGGCCTTTCGCGTCAGATGACTTTACTCAGAGTAACGCTGTTGGTTCATGCCTTCGTGGGCTGAATGCCGCTCCTCTTTTGTTCACCCATTTCCCAGTGGGGGGAGGTTAGGGCTGTTTTCCCTTTTTTTGACTTTTATACACAGTGCAGCCGTGAACATGCGTGTGCAAACCTTTGCGCGAACACACACACACGTTTGATGCTCTAGGGTATCAGCCTGGGAGCGGAGTTACCCAGGCGCGTGGTTACTCTGTGTTCAACTTTTGGACGAAACGCCAACCTCTTTCCGCAGCAGCTGCGCCATTTGACATCTCGAACGGAGTTTTTTTGTTTATAAATAAAACACTGGGTTAAAACCCAGTGTTCCCCATCCCCATTTTCCCATGTTAAAAATGGAGGTATACTTTTTATGCAATGAAATGCACAGCCCTGAAGAGTCCAATGGGGTGAGTTCTCACTCATGTTCACATGTGCGCAGCCTAAAATTACAAAATTATACACGGCAGGACAGACTCCCAGCGAGCGCTCTCCTGCTCCTTCCAGTGAACAACCCAGCCCGAAATCAACAATGGACTGTATTTATAACACCATTGATTAGTTTTGCCTTTGTTCTTGCATCTTGGCTGTTATAAAATGGAATCACACAGCCTATCGATGGCCTGGGGTTTCTCATTTGATTTCTGGCTTGCTGGGCTGGGAGGGAGTTGTGAATCATGGTACCGACGGCCATGCCCTTGAGCACATGCCCAGAGACTTCCCCCTAACTTCCAGAATTCGAATCCAGGCCTGTCTGGCTCTCCATTCAAAACTCTGCCTGCTGCTATGCAGCCGCCGGGGTGGGGCACAGGAAGGGGTATGAACAGATGGTATGAGGGAGCCCATGCTGAATTCCCCACTAACTTAGCCCAGGGTCCCCCCTCTCTGGGCCTTAGTTTCTCCACCTGAAAAATGGGCTTAACCCAGCAGCACCTGCCTCAGTTACCTTCCAAAGCAAGGCCTCTCTGAGAGAATATGAAAAGGGGGAAAGTTGAAAAGGGTGAGGTGCAGTGGGAGTTTGGGGGACACCGTTGCTGGTAATCAGAACCTGTGTAGCCAGGGTTACTGATTGCCTAGTGGACACCAAGTGCTGGCTAGATGCTTACTCTGCACATGCAGCGCTCAGAAAGATGTGGGAGGCGGGGTTCTGAACACCCCTGTTTGTAGTCCTGCAGTTTGTGGGCCAAGGTCACCCAGCAGGGGCAGGCAGGATGCACTTTTGGGGAGCTCTGAGCTTGTGGGCTGGCGGAAGGTCATCTTGTTTTATTTGTACCTATTGTTGGAATTTGAGCAAACAGGGATAAGCTTGCAGCTCCCAGCAAGGCCCTGCGGCCACCTCGTTTTTCTAGGGAGAGTGGGGACCCAGGAGGAACTGGCAGCGTCCTCTTGGTTGTCCAGGTGGGGATGCCAGCTTCCTTCTGTGATGTGGGAGGTACTAGGGAGAAGATAGGGGCTGGGTAGTAGAGGGTCCATCAGCCCCAAGTCCCACTCATTGGCTAGGTAGCTGCTCTCTGAGCCTCAGTTTCCTCATCTGCAAAATGGGGCCGATTCCAGCATCCACTGCAGAGTTGTAAGGATTCGATGCAGCGAGAGAGCTTCACACAGGGGCTGCTCTGAGCAAGTGTTCGGTACATGTCAGCTCCTGTGGTGGCAGGACCAACCGTCACATGCTTTGGTGTCTCCCTGTGCAAATGGAGGTACAATAATTAATAACAGGAAACACTTGTGTGATGCTTGCCATATGCAGGGGTCTTCTGCCGATGAGTTATCTTAAGAGCAGAGGACATAGGCTCCTCAATTACAGGCCCCATTTTCCAAAGAAGGAAGCTGAGACGCAGAGAGGTGAAGCCACTGGATGAAGGTCACCTCTGGGGACGGCGAGGATTCGAGCATGCTAAGTAAGCACAAGGCCAGGCTGGGGCAGGTCCCCATGGCTGACAGAGAGGAGGTTCGCAGACACACCACGGTCTACCCGAGGCCCCACAACCTGCCAGTGGCAGAGCACGTGACCTATCGGGGTCTTTCGGTTTCAAGGGTCCAGGTCTCTTTGGCTGCCCCTGCTCCGTTCTGTGCCCTGCGCACAGCAATCGCTGGACGAATACTCTGTTCCCTGCCCAGGCAGAGCCCAGCCGAACCTTCTCCCATCCTTTTTGCTGTTGTTGGCTAAGGAGGCAGGGAGGAGAGGCTGAGGGGGAAGGGGCTTTTGATTTTCCTGCCTCCCTTCCCTTCCAGCACAGGTACAGGCTGTGGGCACCTGCAGGCAGGTGCCCCCCAGCAGCCTCTGACAGGAGGGGACAGAAAGGGAGGTGGGAACTCCCATTTCCTCAGCCCCTCCCCCCGGGCTGGAGTCCCGCTTGTCTGGCCAGTGGTCTGAGGGCTGGAGGTAGGGGAGCCGCAGGGACCGCCTGGATCAATGCCACTGTGAGCTGTGGCTGCAGCCTTTGTCCCCTCCATTACGGCTCCTCCCCATGGGCTGGAGGAGCCTGACCCCACGGGAATCTCACCCGCAAGAGCACATTCTTCCTGGTGCCTCCGAGCCCCCTCCAGCTGCCCTCAGCAGCCCCCACTCCTCCAGCCTTTGTCCCAAAGAGGAACCCTCAGGAGTTCTGAGCCCCTCAGAAGACAAAGGGCTCATTGAGGCGCCAAGGCCAGGCAGA